CATTCATCAGTGGGCCAACATTGCCTCTGGTGCCATCTGTTTCTTGTGGCTGAAACTCTTGCATGGATGACTTTTAACTGTTTTCCTTTCTCTCCCTTAAGCAGAGAGTGGAAACAAACCTAATGTGGGTTGACAGAGATATATGGAGTAATGATACAATTGAATTCTTTTGCTGTAGGTAAAGGAGGCAGTCCCAAAGTTGGGCTGTTGTCCAGTTGCTTCTCAAGTGTTGATGTTTCTCTGACCACAAAGCAGTCTGGTTCAAGCATCTGTGCTGGCAGTAAACTAACTTACAAAGGGAAGTAAAAGATACGCTTGAAGCGGCTTACCTGGAATGCAGAAGAATGCATTTTGGAAGAGTGTGGACTTAGAGCTGAAGCAGGGGATGGATTCCTGCTTTTTTTTCCCTAGCCCCCTGACAGTTCTCACTTTTTCTGGCACATGTGGTCAGTCAGTAACAAAGAGGAAGAGTGTCTTGTTTCAAGATGACTTTAAAAGGCAGCAATAGGCTGCTGTTACACAGTCTTGTAGAGCAGACCTTGAATTTCAGAAGTGGGTGCTGCAGAGTACGTGTGATGGATCGGACTCACCAAGAAAAGGCTTTGGAAAACATCTGCTTTGGTGCCAGTGGCATTCGGATCAGGATGGACGTTTGGCACTGACTGCAGTACTTCTAGACACGGAGAGAAGTGTCTATGTTGAACATGTTGCAAAATTTACTGATTTAAAATGGCAGATGTCTTGGCTGGGATAACTCACAAATTTCTGCATAAATTTTTCACTCAGTTTTTAAAATTTCATTTAAATATCAGATTTTTCTCATGAAGATACTGTGGGCTTTTTGAGCATTGTCTTCTGTGGAGAAGCACGCACCAACTCGGAGATAGTGGCAAACAGAATTTGCTTTATTGCAAGCAGGCACACATATTTATGCTTATTAGCAAGAAGCACTATTTGTGGGTTACAAACAGGAGACCAGACTATGCAGCCAGGGTTGTTATTAGCTCATGTACTCCTTCAGTCACTCATATCACACAGGGAGAGCAGATTTTCCCAGGTCTGTTTTGATCACACTCTCCTGTTCACTCCCAGGCACATCTTGTGTACAGGAAGCCTCTTATCTGTCCATTCTCACGAGCAAACTCCCAACATGAGCTGTACTTGGCTGGTCAGGGTCTCTTTTGATTATTATCAAGCAAGAGTTAGGTACTTGTTTAGAAAAGAGCTCAAGGACGAAAATCTTAATTCTGCAGCGCAGTGCTGCTGGCACGGCTCGCTGTGAAATGTAGGGTATCCACAGTCTTCCTAAATATGTCTAGAACTAGAGGAAAAGAAACCGAGCTCTTGTTCTCTAAGAGTCTTGCAGGCAGAAATGAATTAGACTTTGCAATATCTACTGATACGGCATTGTGTGTATCTTACTGCCTGAGTCTGTCATGTGTGTCTGTACTGTGTACTCAAACTTGCCTGTTATGTTTTGTGATTTTATTTTCTAACTTGTTTTTTCTTTATTTAGGGAACAGCTAGCATGTATTTCAAACGCTTTTACCTCAATAACTCAGTGATGGAGTATCATCCTCGGATAATAATGTGAGTTACCAATGTACCTTGAGTTGGTCTCTCAAGCACAGCATTGGAAGTATAATGCTTATATCTCTAAAGATCTGAAAAAATAAGAAAGAAAATCCGAGGGCTTAAATACAAGTAAAAGCAAAGAGAATGGCCATTTTCATTTGGGAGAACTTGTGGCATTCGGAACTTGATGTTTTGAAGATATAGAAGTCTTGATAAGAAGGTGGATGTTGGCTTTTGTCAGTTGTTGGCTTTTTTTTTTCTCTCTCCTCAAGGCTAACATGCGCATTTTTGGCCTGTAAAGTAGATGAATTTAATGTGTCCAGTGCGCAGTTTGTTGGTAACCTTCGAGAAAGCCCTCTTGGACAGGAAAAAGCCCTTGAACAAATACTGGAATATGAACTACTGCTTATTCAGCAACTGAACTTCCATCTTGTCATCCACAATCCATACAGGCCATTTGAGGGATTTCTCATCGATCTGAAGGTAGTTTTGCTTCACATGCTACATTCTTGGTATACTAATGTAATACAACTCTGTCATGTGTTTTGTTAGAAAACTTCGTTTTGTGCCTGTGGTAGGCAAACAGCTGGAAGGAAGTTGGTTTAGCTGTGGTCTTGAAGCACTTTAGATTATTTTTGGAATAAAAAGATGGTCTGCTGCATTTTAGCTTTACAAAATACTGTTTACATGTTCTGAGCTAACGAACTGAAAGATGAGGAACCAGGTACTTACTCTCCTAAATGCTTACTTTTTAGACTCGGTATCCATTGCTGGAGAATCCTGAAGTTCTGAGAAAAACAGCCGACGACTTCCTCAATCGAGTGGCTCTCACAGATGCGTATCTGCTCTTTACTCCCTCACAGATAGCACTTGCTGCCATATTATCCAGTTGTTCAAGAGCAGGAATTAATATGGAGAGGTAGTCTTTTCTTTGCTTCTTGTATAAAATTGTTTTGTTCCAGACTTTCCTAACTGGGATTTACTGATTGTTAACACTCTGGTACATTCTTGAAGTATGTTTCAAGACTGAAGCGGTACTTTTTTGGGGAGGTTTGGGTTTTCCCTTTTTTGTAAATCAGGTGATAAGAAAAATTAAGGTTTTAAGATGTTTAAGGTTATAGAGTTAAATCAAGTTGGAATGGCAGTTACTATGCAGGTGGAAACTTAAGTACTGTGATTTGGCTGGTCCAACTATTCATTTCCTCTGGAAATGGACTAACAGTAAGGTGCCGTGTTAAATCAGTCCTTTCTTTCCTTTCTGTGGTCTAGCTGCTAGCATTTGCAAAGGCATTATCAAATGCTTCTTTGGTATTTTCAAGGGACAAAGCGTACTCTTTTCTGCAGAAAAACAACGGAGATAATTCCTGTAAGTAACTATATCTGGAGTGTTCCATGGAGCAGTTTGCATCTACAGTGTAACACCTGCAGGCAAAAGGGCTGATACTTAATGTGAAGAGGTGTTTTTAAAGAAGCTGTCCTTCCACGTGCTCTGAATGAATCTCTAATCTCTTGCTCTAAGAGTGAGATGATGTGGGAGTGTCCTTCATAGGGTTTGCTGTCATCAGAATGTAAAAGCAATCACGTGCTTACTGCAGCTTGACATTTGTTGATCTCATTCCTGCATTTGTATTCTGTACGACTTGTCCCAAAATTCAGAGAAGCGTACTTAAAAAAGAACAAGAGCGCTTTGTAGGTAGTGTGTGAATCGAGGTGTGCGATCTTCGGGTGTTCAAGAAGAACTCGAGTCTTTGTCGCCTGCCTGCACCACACAGTTGCTGTAATCATGTCGTTTGTTGTGTTCCCTGAGAGAACCTCATGCTGCAGCAGCAGCACCTGTGAGCAGGTGCCTGCTGAGGTGGGACCCAACGTGGAAGGTTTGAAAAGCTGTTGTTCCCGTGATGTCAGCGTGTAGGTCAGTCTTGAAAAGGTACAGGTGCCGCTGCTCTCTGGCTGATAGGTGGCTCCAAACCAATCTCCACTTCTGGTACCAGCACAGGGTTAGTTAACACTCTTAAATTTGAGCTTTACACGTGAGTTTGAAGTTAACACAGACTGTTGGGTTTCTGTAGTTTATCCATAAGTACATGACCTGAGAAGGCATAAAACTACTTGATGGTTGTGGACCGTTGTTGCTCCTACGTGCTAGGGTTTTACCCAGGTGGTGAGTGTATATTTTTACTAAAGGGAAGTTTGAGTCTCTGAGAGAAGAAGAAGGCAGCCACAGGCTTGTACAAGACAGCATTTAGGCTTTGCTGTCAGCTTCTAGAAGAAGCAATTGCATCGTACAAGCTTTGCTCTCTGTTGGTCTCTCTGGAGACCCCTCTTCTGTAGCGTTCGCTTTTCCAGCAGTCACAGTGTGCGGTGGTGCGGTATTAGCATGACACTTGATAGAATCCTAAAGCTGACTTAACTCAGTGAGACTTCCTCACACATGTTTAGTTCTGCATGTTGGAACTTTGGTTCTTTACAAGGCCAGGGAGTGCTTTTGCACAGTCTTACAGAAGCATGTTGCAAGTCACAGATTTGCTTTTTTTATCACTTTATAGCACTTATGTAACCTGAGTGTTCTTACGAAGTCTAATCATAGAGCTCTAGCAGATGTAAATAATACATAATACATGGTTGCTTAACACTAGTGGTAGCCATACTTACGACACTTTAAGCATTTATTCTTCCATGTGTCTTTTCTAGTTATTTATCAGAAAGTCTCATGCTGAAAGAAAACAGAACATCCTTAGCCAAGCTACTAGATGGCATGAAATGTAAGTAAACACTGGAAAAATATGATAAACAGTATCTTTAAAGGAGGAAAACCAGCTTTTTTACAAACAGCAAAAGTTTTAAGCAGAAAGGTGTGCTTCAAGTGGTGTTCTTCACCTCAGGGCGTGCATTGAGTAAAACATGGGAAGTAGAATGAACTACCCTGCATGTGGATACAAGGGCAGAAAACAGTGAGACTCTCTTGAGATGTGAAAAAATGAAATTAAAAGGCAAAGGGCTGTAGTCAGTTAAGTCCTAGAAACCAACTCAAAAGCGAGAAAACTATTTTGGGAAGTAGATAATGATTTTTGTAAGTCAGGATGAAGATTATCTTCAGTCACTGTCTCACAGCTTCAGGCAGAAGCCTGCACATAACTGCTTCTACCACCAGAGGGTACTTTTTCTAAGCTAAATGATTAACGTTAAGTGATGTGCCGGGATTTACACTTCTCATCTGTCTTACAGGTATAAAGATGTTTCAGAAGATGTTTAGGTTTTCAGGAACGCTAGCATGGTTTACTAAGATAATGAGGAAGGTAGTACACTAGTTACTGCTTTTATTAAATTAAACTAAAAGGCTGGGATATGAAATTTCCAGTAAGTCATCCGTTATTTAATGCCTTAAGCCAATGCATGCATTGAAAATGGTAGCATTAAAACCGCAGTTCTTTGACTGAGTTGACTTTACTAATGAACTCACCATACAGGTCAGTAGGATCTAAAAATTCAATGTAAATTGAGTTTATAAAACGTAAGATGCTGTTCCCTTTTTTCCTTTCCTGAAAAGGAATCCAGTCTTCAGGTTTCCATTGCTGAGATGCTTGTACAGTTCACAGGTGTGGTGGGTTGACCGTGGCTGGAGCCCAGGTGCCAAGCAAAGCCACCCTGCCCCTCTCCTCCTCACTTGGACAGGGGGGAGAAAATACAGTGAAAAGCTTATGGGTCAGGATAATGATGGGAAGATCACTGAGCAGCCACTGTCACAGGCAAAACAGACTCAGCTTGGGGAAGTTAATTTAATTTATTACCAATCAAATCCAGGAATGGCAGTGAGAAACAAAACCAAATCTTAAAAACACCCTCTCCCGCGCTCCCTTCTTCCCAGGCTTAACTTTGTTGTTCTTTTCTTGGGTTGTGATCAGTCCATCACATGTTGCTTCTGCCACTCCTTCATCCTCAGTGCAAGGACTCCTCACACTCTTCCCCTTCTCCACCGTGGGGTTGCTCCCACGGGACACAGTCCTCCGTGAAGTTCTCCAAGATGACTCCTTTCCGTCAGCTGCAGTTCTTCACAGACTGTTCCCACAGGGTCGCAGCCTCCTGTGGGCATCCGTCTGCCCGGGCTGCAGGGCAGGCTCTGTTCCAGCACCGGGAACGCTGACCTTGGGGTCTGCAGGGGTGTTTCTCGCACATATTCTCACTCCTCTCCTCCAGCTGCTGTTCCCCAGCATGGTTTTTTTCCTCTTTCTTAAATATGTTGTCCCAGAGGTGCTACAGCTGTTGCTGGCGGGCTCAGCCTTGGCCAGCAGCAGGTCTGTCTTGGAGCCTGCTGGCATTGGCTCTGTCAGACACGGGGGAAGCTTCCAGCAGCTTCTCACAGAAACCACCGCTGTAGCCCACCCACTCCCCAAAAAACCTTGCCTTGCAAACCCAGTACAAGAAGGAAATGCAGAAATTACTTTATTTGCTTAGATCTGTGTTGTTGTCAATGTAGGTATGAAAAATCTCATAAAGAAATACGAACTGCCAAGGCCTGAAGAGGTTGCTGCTCTAAAACAGAAGTTGGAGAAGTGTCACAGACCGGAGCTTTCACTGAATACAAACACGTGAGTAGATAAGTTAGTCTTTGATGTGTTAAACTTCTCCTTTTTTTATTGCTGTAGAAACTTAATTTTCACTGATCTGTGTGAGTGAATGAAAATGAAAATATGTAGGTGTACAGCTAATGATGTTGCTTCAGATGCTCACCGTGTGTCTACTGGAAGGTGAGATCCAAGACTCAGAGCAGTGCTGTCAGTAATATGTAAATATGTTATTTTGTGCTAATTTGCACTGCAAGCTGTAATAACTGATTATTTTGTAATGGAACTGGAATCCCAGATGTCCTCTAAGGCCTGGCCACTTGATATCATCTATAATAAAAATCAAGGCCTTTAAAATCACATAATTAAGAATTGTGTAAAGAGTTAAAGTTTTCTTAAGACTTACTTACATGGATGGGAGAAGTCTTCCTAAATTGTATTTACTATCCTTTTCCCTTCAGTATCCACTGAGAACTTCCAGCAAGCTGCTAGTTGAGGCTTTGACAGTTCCCTTTGTGACAGATAGGTCCATAATCTAATCTCGTGGCCAAGTAAGGACATTCTGACTTACAAAAATCCTTAAATATTTCGCTTTTTTTTGATGTGGGGTAGGAAGAAGAGGAAAGGTTCTGAAGATGATGAATATGTCGCAAAGAAGTCTAAAATGGATGAGGTCAGTAATCCTGTTGTACAAGTGCTTGTTTTTCCACTCTAACTGCCACGACAAAAGTGACAAAGTTCTGCATCTGCTAATATTCTTTACATGTTGTGCAGACAGAATCTTTTTTCTTTTTTTTCCAAACGAGCCAGAGTTCACACAGCCTGCACTGACCCCAGTCTTTTGTGGGCAGAGCGGGGAACACATCAGCCACCGTGCTAGCAAAACTGGCATTAATTATAGATGAGTAGTTAGGACCTCAGATTATAAGACCAAGGGTAAATAAGGTGGAGATGGACTGCGGAAGGTGACTCAACAAATGAAAACAGAATTAGGGTAATCCTTCATACGTAATGAAAGCATCTTTCAGAGCTTTCATTTGTAACGTTGACTGGAAGTTGTAAGAGAGTCTTTTCAGGTGGAGGAACAATGAAGAGGCACAAGCTAAAAACCTCCAACAGGTGCCGGAAAGGGGCTGCCGAACAACTTGTCTCCATGACTTAAAGAGTAGTCATGGATAACTAAGGTTGAAGGGCTTGGTCAGCACTAATTCAAATGCTCTTTAGTTTGTCTTCTGCTAGTGGAATATTTCTGTTAGGTATTAAAAGCCTGGCTGTGAAGAGGATTTTTTGCTGTGGGTTTGGCCGGGGAGGGCGGTGCTGTTCTTGATAAGCAGAAGCAAGAAGTAGCTCTTAGTCCCAGGAGGCCTTCAGTGGTGTGTTCTGGGATTGGCCACTGTTAGCCAAAATAAATAGATATATAAAAGTAATCTTCCCTTTGGTGGATTTACTTGACAGACTTATTTCTCCTTTATTCCCTGCACAACACACTGAGCCCATCGGGCAACATTGCTTGGGAGGGGCATGCAAGAAACGTTTAAAATGAAGCCACACGTGAAAACTGAACCGGAGTCCCAGCCCAGCCCAGGGCAGTCTTAAAGGAACTCCTTTAACTGAGCTCACCTTTAGCCATGGGAGGAGGTCTGGGCAGAAATCCAGACTGTGGGGAGTCCAAAGAGAGGAAATACCCGTTCCTGTGTTCAGCAGTTCTTGCCCTCAGCCTTAGATCAGGTACATCATGAGATTCTGATGGGGAACCTCACAGACTTGCATTTCATCGATTAATTTCTGTGTGGGCCTTGCGTGGGTTCTCCTCCCCAGTCTGAGCTCGCACTGCAAGCTGACGAGCACTGACGGTTGCTGCCTGGTCCTGAGAGGCAGGAGGGGCTGTGCAAGATAAGCAGGTCAGGTGTCCTGGGCAGAAATGCTCATCTGTCACGTACCGTGGACAATCCCCGTTTAAAATCAGTTTAACTGTGCCATTTATGTCACTGGCAGCAGCGAGAGCTCAGACATGTCACAAGGCCTCTGTGTCACTTGTCCTCAGCTGCCACACGCAGTGGGGTCACGGTGCCGGCCCATGCAGCAGCACCACATGCCCTGTTCGGTGCTGCCTGACCCACCTCATGGTGAAACACCGGAATCACACGAGGCTCAAGGCATCTCCTTTTCCCCTTCCTTTAGGAAGAGTGGACTGATGATGATCTTGTGGACTGAGTGGAACTCTGAAGATGGAATCCCGTTGATGCAGAAACTGGTGTTGGGTGTCATGTGTGAACCTGCCTGCCACACGTTCGTTACTCTGTGTAATGAGGTTATTTATTCTGTCTGTTTTTTTATATCTTTGCAATAAAGTATCTGATTTGTTAAAAATAATTAGTTGTAGCTCCATTAAAATCTCATCCATTCTAGGTCAAACATTAGTAAGAAGTTTGTGCTTTGAGAAATCTGCCACTCAGGGAAGACTTTTGGTTCAGGAACAGTTTGAGGTAACAACACACCCAAAAGCAACTTTGAGCATTTCCTGCTTTCATTTGCACCGCTGCGTTTCGTATGTGATGGGTACAGGGCCAGCTGCATTCTTACCAGGTTACACAGCCTATGCCCAGCCACCTAAACCTACAAAATAACCCACTGTACCCACCCTGGTTTTGCCAAATCTATGCCATTAGCTGACTAGCCAGGGAAGAAAAGCAGATGCTACAATTTTACTCCAGAAAGCCCGACGCCGTTGATATATAAACAGCTTTATAATCAAGTGAAGGAAGTGTGACATAACACAGGTTAAGTAAGTCCTGTACTGGGGTTCTGAACGGGCTGGGAGCTGTAAGCAGAGCATTAGCAGTACTTCGTCATCACTTCAAAAAAAAAAACAAACCAACCCACCAAAACAATGTTACAAACCAGGGCTGTGTGACCTGAGTGTTTGCAAAAGCAGAGGAAAAGTCGACCTTTTCCTCTGAGATGCAGCTTCACACAGGCTTGGCAGTGATAGATCAAGCAGTGCCTTTACTGGATGACTTCTTTAAAAATAAATAAATTCAGTAGTACCAAAGTCTTTCAAAACTATGTCTTCAGTAGGCTGTGTTGAGAGTGTCACCTCTGCCTGCCAAGGGCACTCTGTGACACTGAGGAGCTCTCGGCTGCAGCCCAGGACCCTGCCCTCAGCAGAGCTCCAATGGAGACCAGGCAGCAGGGCAAGAGCCAGCGGCAACCCTGGAAGATATGAACCAACCTCATGGAAAAGGCCTGAAGATAAAAATATACACAATTTAACCCGACAGTGAACGGAAAAAGCAGTTCGAGTAAGGCAGGTGCTGACAGGGTTCCCGTGTTCACGGTTCTAAAGGTCACAGGACACAGTTACGTAGGTGACGATCTCGTTAGTCTTGTCACTGAAGCTCAGCATCCCTTTATTCCTTATTAGAGCACCATCGAGAGAAGAGACAACTGGTAATCTAAAATACCCTCTGCACCTACTGCATGTTTTAATTTTTTTAACAGTTTTAACTGCTTTCTTACCCCATGAGGAACATGTACAAATTAAGGCACGTGGAAAAAGTGATGCTGTTCAGAGGATTCACGCTGAAAGTGACACCGCGTGAACGTTTCAAAGTACATCGTGTGTGCAGACACTGTAAAAAAATCTCCACAGCAGCCAGTTAGCCAGTTTCCATAAAGTTGATCTGCAGCTTGATTTATTTTAAAAACTTGTTTTTCACTTATAAAAATAATATTTATGCTAGACTTACAGTACACAAAAGACCAACCAATACATATTTTATAAAATGGTTTAATGAATGCATGCATGTCTGATACAATGGTCAATAAATTTACTGAATTCAAATTATTTACTGTTGTAAACATTTTACAAAAGCATTGTGATTTATCTGGATATACAGTTCTTGATGGAAGAACTATTCAGACTGAATCAGTGGCACATCAGAAAATAAAGCTGACAAGACCCATTCTGCATCTTCTCTTTCAACATGATTCCAGCAAGAGAAACAGCATGGTATAAAAAGTGTACAGCAAAGATTTTTTTTTTCCTACCATAACATCAAATTCTGGAAACTGTAAATACAAGTTAAAGTGGTTGAAACAGTCAAAAGTCATAATTATTGTAACCAGTAAGAAATGTTATCCAGTTATATGTGGCTGTCAACACATTTCCTCTCATGTCAGTTGATAATTCTTTTCCAGCCAGACAGCAAAACTTTGGCAAATCAGAGGTGCTGAAAATAATTTTCAAAGTTCGAGACACAGTCACAGCATTTTCTTTGCGGAAGGTGAACTGTACACCAAGGCTCAGAGGTCGTGAAAACTGTTTCCAAGAGGAAAAAAAAAAAAAAAGTGCAACTGTCCTGCACATATAGCTTAAAAAGCTGCTGGTACAATCATCCACCAACAGGATCTTTGTGTTCTTTTTGCATAGTTCACACATCACTGGGAACGTGACGGGGTGTGCTGTTTTTTGGCAAGAGCAAGAAGACAGTGATACTGGTGCGAGTCGCCGTGTGGGCGTGCTGGATCCATGCAGAGTTCCGGCAGGGGGCTGCTACCTGGTGTTGTTGGACACTGAATACTGATTCTGTTTTTGTTGAAGCAGTTCAGTAATAGCCAAAAGCTTCTTAAGAACGTGCTGGAGAAAGAGCCAGTAAAACCACACGTTAGCTACTGGAAGTGAGAGCCGTTCTCAGCATTAGCCTGCTAACAGGTAGTTCAGAGGATGTTAAAAAAAGGAAAAAGCTAAAAGTGCCGATTCCCCAGTTGGTCAGACACTGCCCTCAAACAGGAAGTGTAAAGCCACGCTATGAGCTTTGCTCTCGACCCGTGGATCTCTGTGGCTGCTCTGTGGTTTAACGGGGAGGCTGAGGAAGTGCTGCTGACACTGCTGGAGTTTGCGGGAGAAGTTTGTAAACACAAATTACCGGCAAACAAGGAAGCAGAAATGAAGTATCAGTAGAAAGCTGACAAAACTACACTTAGTTCTCAAGCAAGATCCCTGGCCAGCACAGGATCCCTTCTCAAACATCTCAACCCTGACTGCCCACCAGGAGACAGCAATTTGGTGGGTTTAGGCTTCCTCTAGAAACTAAAAAAATCACCTCCGGTGCTCTTCCGTGAAGGAGCAAAACTATGAGCCAAGTGTTTACCTTCACAGCTGACAGCCTCCTGGTGAAATACACGTATTTTAAAGTGTTTATCATCATGCTGCTGGCCAGAAATGCCACAAAAGAATCAGTATCGAGGAAATAACTCGGAACACACGGTCTGCCCGTGTTGGTCAACCTTTGTCGCCTACCTGCATCACACCTCGCTCGTTACTGAGCGTCCGGAGCTCGTCCGAGTGTGCCACACAGATCTCGTGCAGGGCCGCCAGGTCACGGGACAGGTCAGTTCTAGAGTGCTCTGTAGTGTCTGGAAGCTCAGGAACATTCTTCAGGGGAAGGAAAAAAAACCCCAAAATAAACAAACACAACAGATTTCAAGTAGCTGGGTTTGCATGAGGATAATTTCAGCTCCACAGCTCTGCCAACACTGTTGTTTTACATCACAGGAAGTGCAACCAGAGTGTTAGTCTGCCCATCCTTCGATTACAAATTACGGATCTCCTCCTCTCCGTAAGCATGTATTTTACAAATACACCGCAATTTCTACTCCTGCAGGAAGGATTCTTACTATAAGATCTGGACTTGCAACCTACCTGAACACCACACTCACTTCAATACCTCACCAAATACATTCTGACGTCTTCTATGTCACTTTTGAGGGATTGAGGAAGCCTGGCACATTTTTGTCATGCAGCACATGCAGGACAACCAGGGGATCAGACCAGTCAGCATGGGTTTGTGAAGGGCAGGTCCTGTCTAACAAACCTGATCCCCTTCTGTGACCGGGTGACTCACTTGCTGGATGAAGGAAAGGCTGTAGGTGTCATTTATCTTGACTTTAGCAAAACTTTAAACGCTGCTGCCCACAGCATTCTCTGAGAAACTGACTGCTCTTGGCTTGGATGGGCACACACTTTGCTGGGTGAAAAACTGTCTGGATGGGCAAGACCAGAGAGTTGTGGCCAATGGAGTTAAATGCAACTGGTGACAGGTGACCAGCGGTGTCCCCAGGGCTCAGTGCTGGACCCACTCCTGTTTAACATCTACATCAATGATTTCGGCGAGGGGATGGAGTGCACCCGCAGTAAGTTTGCAG